TCACATCTGACCCTTTCTCTGTGTTCACATTCCAGTTTTTGTTCTCTGTTGACAACTCAAATTTGCTCAAAATAAAAAATTAACAGACAAATAAAATAATTCGGGATCGACCGAGCAATCTCAATGAGCAGCAGCTTAGTCTCACTCACAAAGACGATAACGGTCATATTTTCAAACTTAAAAAGGCGGGCAGTTTCATTGGTCAGTTTCCTGGATGCAGGGCCGTAGCCAGGGTTTTAAATTTACAGAGGTCCTAAATCCCGCCCCCTGGCTACGGGCATGCCTGGATGACAGCCAGATTAACCAATCATGGTCAAAGCAATAAGACAAAACAACCAACAGGATTTGTTTCAGTGTGGTAACGTAGCGAAATGTATAGTTTTATTGTTGTTAATGATAATGATAATAATTATATTGTAACATATTCGTATAGATTTTAGAATAGGTTTCATGATCAAAATATTGTAAAATGCTAATAAAATAATAATGATCATAATAATAATAATAATTTAAAAGGCAGAAATTTATTTTGTATGTTGTTGAAGACATTACGTTGAATCAACGTACAGATCTTGTAAAAAAAAAAAACAAGTGTTTTTTAATGTTAACCTTTTCCAATCGTTTAATACATTATTTCAATGTTGTTTCAACCTTGAAACAACAATTGACATTATTTCAACCATATTTCAGTGTTGAAGGTTGGTCATGTCCTGGCTGGGGAGTATTGGCTGGAATTGTTGTATAATTTTACCTGTATATTATATTAAAGCTACTGCTAAGAAAAAGAAATAAATAAATCTTACAGTAATGTTTAGGTAGAGGTTGATGACACGGATTAAATAAAATAAATTGAAACCACATATTCCAGCAACATATTGTCCATCTCATCACCTTCAAGCCATTTCTCCTGCAGTTATACCTGCACTCACTTCCAAATCTTCAATACTTATCTTGCTGGATCTGTCCGCTGCTTTTGACACGGTTAACCACCAGATCCTCCTGTCAACCCTATTGGCAAAGGGCATCTCAGGAACCGCACTCCAGTGGTTTGAGTCTTACCTCTCAGATAGGTCCTTCAAGGTATCTTGGAGTGGTGAGGTGTCCAAGTCGCGACATCTAACTACTGGGGTGCCTCAGGGCTCAGTTCCTGGACCACTTCATTTCTCTGTCTACAAAGCATCACTAGGTTCTGTCATTCAGAAGCATAGCTTCTCATATCACTGCTATGCTGATGACACTCAACTCTACCTCTCATTCCATCCTGATGATTCGACGATACCTGATTGCATCTCAGCTTGTCTAACAGACATTTCTTGCTGGATGAAGAACCATTCTATCTGTTTTCTTTTTATTTATTATATAATTTAAAAAAAAACTTGCTACGTGTACTGCGTTAAGCTAACTGAGACTTGTAGTGTGTTCACCCTGTTGGAGTATGACAGTGTGAATTGGCTTTTAGGTGCTTTGGAAAACAAAACAAAAAAAACAGAAAAAAAAAATATATATATTTTTTAATGTTTAAGCAATTAACATTAAATTCTTACTTTCCCTATTCTTGCAATATTCAAGTGTTCATGTCCCTGAGTAATATCTGCATGCACCTAAGTCTGAAGAGAACACATAATATGCTAGTAGACAGCAATCCATATGAGAGAGAGTTCTTGTGTGGAGGGTGGATCTGGAACTGACTTCTGTACAGGTTGTCAACATCTCTTGATGATCTGTTTTCACGAACTAACCTGAAATACAATTCAAACATTAACAATGATTGTTATAAATGTAACGTGAGGCTCTTACATTCACAATGCTCATTTTGGCCTCTACAGCTCATTTTGGTGGTGAAGTGTGCAGGAAATTCTACCAGACTGAAATTTAGTCTTTGGTGAACAGTGTTCAAGAGTGCAAATAAAACTTTAAGTTTTAAGTACCTTTCAGACTTGCGTGAGGTTTCCACAAGCAACAAAGTCTACTTGAACAAACACTTCACTGCGTTTAAAGTTTAGAAAATACCTAATATTGAAACAACTAAATGGATTTATATAATTTTACCTCAGACTGTAAACCAGACCGCTTCACGTGCTAATTAACTAACAGGAAATTATAAAATTAAACATTGGGAACTTAATAACTTTACAATACAAAACATTATAAGTCTATAGTTACATTTAATGTTAGATCGGCAAATTGACGAATAAAAAAAATTCA